CTACACGATCATGTCTCATGCTTTATTTTCTAAAACAACACTTTCAGTTTTCAGGTTTGTCAGTAAAACCGCACTAATTATGGAAGGCTCAGTGGATGGTAGCACAAGGAAGGAGTACAGCCACAGACTGATTTGCAAAGACCTGGGAATACAGCCAGGCACTGGTGCTTTCCTGCCAGGTGTAAGGGAGCCCTCAACTGAATCTTTTCTCATTATAACCTATTTACCCCTGCTGAGTGCAACGGACAGGGCTGTTCCTCTTGTTTCCCAAGTGGCAACACATTTTGAGTGTGCTGGTTAGACTGGCCTCCACATCCTGTCTTTTCTAAAGGAAGCAAGCAGACTAAATCACTGAACCAGATACCCCATGTACTTCTTGGGGAGGTTGTGCCGTAACTTGAATTCATAGATTGTTCCCTTTTAAAGCCTTTTCATCTTTCCTTAAATTTACTGTACTTACAGTTTGGAAAAATAAAACAACAGGACTTTCTGCTGTTGCTGCCTTCTGGAGTATGTAAAGAAATGGGAAAAGGGACAAAATTCAGACTTTGACCTGAAGCTCCTTCATTTATTTTGGATCTCCTGAGAAAAAGAAAGAACATTTATAATTTTATCTTAAAGAAAGAGAATGAGTTCTGTGACAATAGTGATGAACCTCCCAGATTTTCTTTAAGGAAATGTTTTTCTTCATATGTCTTTGTTTTCATTACAACTCTTTCAACAAATTCTGGTTCACTTAAATCTGGTGATGATCACAACTTATGTGAGCGTCTACTGCATGCAGAGAAAATCTGTTAATCAGATACATATGACATGACTCTCCTTTGATTCAATGTTACTAATGTCTGAGGGCAGTAAGTGCTCCAATGCATTAATACTGTCAAAGTATTGGATAGTGAGCTCTGAATCGAGCTTGGGAGGAACACATGAGGGAGGACACTGTTTTATCTCTGCAATGTTAGGAGTCGGGGTTACTTTCCATCAGCTTGAAGGGTGTGCTGCTGTTATTTTCCTGCTCTTGGAAGCTGCTCCAAAGGACTGTTGGAGATTATTTTTCTTTACAATCCTGTACTTCTTTAAAAATCCATATGAGATTTATTCTCTCTGCAAAACTCAATTCAGAGTAACACGTATGTTGTCTTTGTTAATGACATTCCTTTTGGCATGAGGGTTGTGGGCAAATGTATTGAACTCTTGGATTGCGAATTCCCAGAGGTAAGGTAGTCACTAAGACATGAGGGGTTTTTTAGTTTTCTTCTTGTTTTAATAGCAGATGTCTAATCACTGCATTGAGAAATCAGTATGTCCCAGTGGGTTTCCTGTTTTCTTTTTGGTTGGTTGGGGATTTTTTGTATGGCATGAGTTGCCTTGCTGACAGGATATGGATGGGATTAAGAACAGAGAACATTTTCTTCCAAGGAATTTTTGCATTAATGAGCATAAACTAGATTCTCAATTAATTTGTCCTAGGTTGACATCTGGTTTTCTTTAATGTAATATGCTATGAGAGGTGAATCAAACCATCTTCACCATGTTTTTTTATCACAATCTTTTTCTTTATTTTCTCATTTCTAGAAAGGATAATTTTATAGGAAGTTTGAATTTCCCTAGAATTGTTATCAAAGCATATATATGTCCATTAAACATATGCTGTGAAAAGAAGGAAATAAATTTCTTGAATTTCCTTTAATAAACACCAATTATATGAAGACTTTTAACTCCCATATAAATAAAAACTCCTTACTAAAAATGTGTTGCATAGAAACATCCAAAATCCCGTCTCCAATTGTTACCGTATTTTTCCTTTCCTTCCCTCCACATGCTCACTATGCTTATTTGAAGACATATTAGACTCATTAAAAAGAATCAAAAAATGCACTGCAAGATGTTGCACATTATGAATCGTGTTCTAATGGAACACAAAAAAAAGAGCTTACAAACATTTCAGTTGTCAGCTTCCTTCCCGCTACTGACTGCTCACAACCAGGAAATCTCAGATGTGTTACTGTAACAAAGAACAAGCTGCCACCTCTTCTTAATTTGCTTGCTATTTCAAGAAAGGATGACGTGTTTCAGTGTTTTGTTAACACTCAAATTTTGCTTGTAATGATTGAACCTAACATTTCAGGGTAGCTTATTATAAAAGTAACAAAACAAAGCACAAGGAAATTAGACATTTGTCATACATGCTTCAAAATTTAACTCTCATTCTTTTGCCTTCCCAGATATCAACAGGGTGTTGACCTGATACATTGTCCATGATTTTTGGAAAATTTAGGTTACATGGAGATAAATTCAAGCTAATCCAAACATAATGGAAACAGAAAATGTGTCTCCAAATTCTAATCTATATTCTGCAACAAACACCTCTGTATTGTATTAAAACATTAATTTGCATAACACGCTTGCTTAGGAGAGAATAGATTTTGGGGGGGGGAAGGTGGCATCTGATCTTCGTATGTTCACTCAGCTGAAAACTCAGTGATATCACCAGAAGCTTTGCTGTGAAAGAGATGAGTTAGTATATCAGACTTAGTTCTGCAAGAAAGTTTTACCTTCTCTTACATCATGAAAGCAGGGAGAAAAAAGTCTTCCTATACTTACGTCTACCCTCTCTCCCCCAAAAAAGCCAGCAAAAAGCTTTTTATGGGGAAAATATACTGCTTCAGAGTAACCCCTGCTGTCACAGGTGTCATAGTCCCAGGAAACAAATGTTTGTGACCCAAAGACTGGAAGACCTCTCCATGTTACATATAGTAAGGACAAAATTAATAAGTAAACTAATTCAATGAGATAGAAGTTCAGTCTGGTTCCCTGCAAACACGGAGCAGACTACAAGGTTGTTGTGATCTAACAATCTCAAAATCAGTGATTTTTTTCAAAAAAATGTGAAGAAAGAAAGAAAATAATTTTCAAATATTCACACTCACTTGTACAGGACAAGGGCAGTGGGCAGCATTTTGCACAGTCATCAACAAACATCCCTGTTAAATTCCCAGTACTGGTTCTCTTCTAACAAGAGAAGAACTGTAACTTTGATTAACCATTTGACGTGGTGGCACTGTAGTTATGTCATGCTGGTGAGCACTGAAAGTGGCATTAGAGTTGAATTATTTTTCTTCTTTTAAAATTGGTTTCATGTGCATTACTCCTTTTAGTGACATGGTTTTGTTTCATTTCCTTCAGAGAAATTACCACTATTTTTCATCTCCAGGGTGATGAAGAAGCTAGCCTGGGCTTGCCAATCAGTCCTTTCATGGATCGCTCTGCTCCTCAGCTGGCACACCTCCAGGAATCTTTCATCACTCACATTGTGGGACCACTATGTAACTCCTATGACTCAGCAGGGCTGATGCCAGGGAAATGGATAGAAGATAGTGATGAATCAGGAGACACTGATGAGAATGAAGAGGAAGAAACAGCAGAAATGGAAACATGTGAAAATACTGAATCCAGTAAGTTATTAAAGCATTTTTCAGCAGAACAAATTCCATATTGTGACCAAAACTTAAGCAGCTTTGTCATAAAAGCATAGAGATGCTGAGCTGGTCAGGTTCAACGTGAGCCTCTCCAGAGTTACAGTGATTCACTTGGTGGACCTGGCATGTAGCCAGTTACATTGGTAATGGAGATGCTCCATGGTTTCAGGACTGATACACATTGCTGTTCGTATGAACTACTCATTTGTACATTCAGTTGAGGTTACTGATGGTAACCGTTTGTGCCTGAGGGATTTTTAGGCTATTTCAGCACTGACATTAGTGGACTGCAGCAATTTCAATTGAAGAAAGGGTGGTTGGGATAAGATCTTTCAAGGAAGCTCTCATAATTTCCATGAGCAAGCATGAGGTACAGGAATAGTAGAATGAGGCTCTGAGATGGGGATGCAAGGAAGGAGTTTTAGCAATGAAAGTCTTTAATGAGAATCTCTTCAAGTTAATGTGTGGAGAAGAGTAGGGAGAGACTTGACTCTGAACATTGCAGTGTTGCATGCTAGGAGCTGTGTCACTTGGTCCTTTGGGCTAATCAATGACTAAAGCTGTTTGCCTCCTGCCTTTGCTCCATAAGATCTGTCATACTGAGAGGAGAACTTTATCTCAGGAACTTGACAGAAGTGATTTTAAGAGAAAAAGCTGCAACTGTGGACTTGTTTCTTTCACCAGTGTGATCCTGCATGTGTTACCTTTTCCTCTCTTTGTGTTCCTTCTCAGTCTGAATTTTCCTACTTTTATTTCCTTCCTCCAGGTCATCTTTCTCTCCCTCCTCTATTTCTAATCCTTTGAGAAAGCACCAGCCTGAAGTGCGCTACCGAAATGCAGAGACCTAGCTTTTTCTCCTGTCATCCTTGTTTTTTCTGTTCTTTCCCACACACTCTTATGCCCTACTGAGTGCCATTCCTGTTTTCTATTGCGGAAGCTGAGAAGCAGAAAGATTTGATTATTGCAATAAGTCATACAGAATTATAGAAGGTCAGATTGGAAGGGACCCCAAGGATCATCTGGTCCAAGCTTTCTAGGTACTACTATAGTTTATATGAGATATCTCAGCACCTTGTCAAGCTGAGACTTAAAACTGTGCAGTGTGGTAGAATCTACCACTTCCCTTGGGAGACTATTCCAATGTTTGATTGTCCTCATGGTGAAACATTTACCTGTTGTGTCCATTTGGAATCTCCCCAGGAGCAACCTATGCCCATAACCCCTTGTCTTTTCTATGTGACTCCTTGTAAATGGGGAGTCTCCATCTTCTTGGTAGCCACCCTTGAAGTACTGGAACGTTGTAATAAGGTCTCCCCCAATGCCTTCTTTTCTCAAGGCTGAACAAACCCAGTTGTCTCAGCCTCTCCTCATAAGGCAGGTCCTCCAGTGCCCTCATCGTCCCTGTGGCCCTTCTCTGGAACCTCTCCAGCATGTCCACCCAGGTGATGTACGTGATACACAGCTCTGTAATGGCAGGCAGAGCCACACATTTTTTGTGGCAGATTGGCATTTATGGAATTGCCTGCTGGGGGAATGTGTACACCTGAAACTGATACTACTGTATTAAAAAGGAAGATAAAGGATGTATTCATATATCCACTGGAGTGTCTAACCTTACTTTGAAATCCATAGGTTCCTTTCACCTCATTTCTGTATTCACTTGTTTCCTGTATCACTGCTGATCAAGTCCAACAACGCTGCCTTTGGGTTAAAAGCACTGACCATTATTAACCCTTGTCACATTGAAAACAGACCACTTTTTAGTTGTCTTTGGTTTTCTTTTTCGCATTCTACTCTGTGACAGTATGCTACTATTCAACCAGGTGCTTTTAGGCTCCGTCTTTTTCAGTACCTTAAAACTGAATGCACCAAAATTTTTTAAATACCCTCACAATTCTTCCTACTTCCTTCTTAGCAAATGTGGGGTGCTTATAGTCTCGATCATATCAATGTGTTACAAACTGTTTTCTTCCAGTTCCCTAAATTCTCTGTGACTGCGTTGATCTGAATCATAAATCTACAGCATCTGTTTTGTCGATATAGGGGTCTTACAGGTTGTTAGAGATTTGTACCTATGATCAACTATGTTCTAAACTTCCTCAGTGGAACAAAATAAAAGGTTGAGATGTCAGGTGAAGGGCTGTGTAGATATCGGTGAAGATCTTTGTCTTGATGGGAATGCCTTTTAGACAGGAAACACTTCATATAGGTCCTGAAAACTCACTAAAGCAGCTGAGATAAATTTAAGAGTTAGAAAATCTTAAGATAGCTTACAATCTTTTTTGTTACCATACAGGAGCATATAATTCCCCCAGCATTCTGATAAAAGTATAAAAATTAAACAGGCTCAGTCTTTAGTGATACAGACAAATTTTAACACCACAGCAAGTGCTTGCTGGTGTCTGCAGAGAGCAGCAAGATGTGGGGTCACCTGAGAAACCCAGGAGAGAATGTCCTGCCGTGGCATTGGCAGGGTAGGAGCTTCTTATTAGTGCTAAACCTGAAGGTTTCGTACAGGGAACCAAGGGCTTTGTAATGAAGGATTGAGTTGGATTTAGTCTGTGCTCAGTGAAAAGCTCTTTGTTTCCATTTCAAAAGCTTCAAGGGCTAAACGTTTTGGATCCTGACACAGACATACTTTAGGCAACCTGCAAATACTAATCCACACAAATTTATTTGGTACAAAGCATTCCTCTACGTCACCTTCTTTAAAAAGAAATCAGCAGTTGTCTTTGGAGGACTTATTGTTTCAGTTCCATGACTGCCATTGCCACTGCTAATGACCTGGGAGAATTTTCAAGCTTTGTACTGTTAAGGAGTTAACAATCTGTGCTGAACAGACTATATTGACACAGAAAAAAACAACACTTCGGACAGCAAAACACTTGTAGTGCAGTTGTATCAGCAACCATGAGAGCTACCAGTGGCAAAAACATTTTATAGGTTAACAGCAGGGGACTGATGCTTCAAAGCCAAAGACCAGCAAGCTTCCTGATAATATTTGGCTGTATGACTGTATCTTCAGACTCCCATTGCTGAAGCAATGTTGTGCTAAGGTTTCACGTCCACTGCAGTGATGAAGTGCTAAATCTCAGACTTTGAAAAGGGAACATTGGAATGGGTTCCCTCCTTTCATTACTAATGCTTGCTCATTCAGTATCCTTCTACAGCTCAAATAAGAGGTAAAATGTGTAGAAAACAAAATGAGGATTTTTTTTCCTAGGGCAATCAGCAGGGATCCATTTCAGGCAGGGCAAGCACAGCATTTAATATCGAACTGTGGATTAATATTGATATTTTAAAAATGCACAGTAACAGCTCAGCAACATGTTTTATGCATAATCATTCAAGCACTAGATGTCTTTGTGAGCTGCATGGTCAGGGACAGCGTGCAGCCTGTGATAGGATGAAGCTGGGCCTCAAACTGTGTAGGAAACTTCTTTGCTTTCCCAGAGGTCTAGAGAAGCATAGCTGTCTAAATTTTAAGACTGTTGAAGTTAGTGGTTTTAAAAATCTCTTGGTGCAGTTCCTATGTGTCATAGTACACCCTGTCTGCTTCTTATGCCTTTAATCCCCTTTCCTTCTTCACTCACAGAAAACAGTACATTAATGTCACATGGTATTTTACAGGAAAGAAGAAGTTCAAGAGGAGGAAAATCTACTGTCAGATCACTCAGCACCTGCTTCAGAACCATAAAATGTGGAAGAAAGTAATTGAGGATGAAGAGAGATTAGCTGGGACAGAGAAGCAAGGCACGGAGCAATCCGTGCTGCACCAATCCTCAGAACAAATCCAGGCCATCAGGGAAGAGGAGGAAGAGAAAGGGAAGCCCAAGAGGGATGAAGAGGAGAACACAACTGTAGAACCAAACCAATGACAATATTTACAGCAGTATTTTAAGACAGATTGACTCGTGCACAGACTCTTTCTCAAGCCAGCACAGCATTTAGACACTACACTGTAGAAGTATGGGATAATGCGCCTACAGCTGTTTTATTTGTTTCTCTTTCCTTTTTATGATGAGGTACATTGTTTAAACTCATATGCTCAAGGAAGCTTTCACACTGCGACACCGGCTTTTACAGACTTTCTTTAAAGAGATTTGGGGGTGGGTGGAATTATATAAATATATATATATATATAGGCAGGGTTATTGGCTGCGCACTTCAGCAAAATACATTTAATGATATATTATGGTCACTGTGATATTTACAGAAGAAAGTTATCTAAGGAAATGCTGCTTCTAAAGCACATTTGCAGTTAACAGTAAGGTACCAGTTAAGTAGCTTTTGCTCTTAATGCTGAGGGATAAAAGTTCCAAAGCTTTATATGAATGCTGATGTATCCTGCCAACATATATGTGTGTGCGAGGTGGTGTTTGCAAGTGTGAGTGGAAGTAATGTAACGTAGCATAGTTTGGGTTCTTACTACACTAGCTGTAGCACGTGTCCCAATACACAACAACAAACAGAAGGCTTGAATTTTTATAAAATTAGTGCCCAGAAGGGAACTGGAGACAATTTTGAGGAGCTTTACACTCCACATAGCCCTTCAAGTCCCGGTTTGCACTCGGTCTGCGGGCAGCAGCCTTTCAACAAGGGCCACGGTAGCCTGGGCTGCAGCCTCACCCCATCCAACAGGCTCCTCCTTCTCTTTCTCTTCCTCTTCCTCCTCTGCACTTCCCAGACTGCTAGCAAAAGGGATGTGCCAAGAGGTCACAAGGAACTGTGTGGCATGCTGGTCTGTTCCCCTTGAGAGGACCTGGCCTTCTGTACTCTTCTGAGTGCATGAATGGCTGCGTGGGGTATCGTGTGTGTTTGGGCAGGAGAGAACAGAAAGCAAATGTGTGTATGTACTTGGAAACTAGAGGCATGCTGTCATCTCCCTACCCTAACCTTATGCCTCCATGCATCAGTGGCCAAATATATCATTTAAAAAAGAAGTTACACTGCATCTCTTGAGAGGAAAAGAAGGGGAGTATGAGGGCCTTGCCCTTCCTCGGAATAAAAGGCAAACGATGCATTAGGAGCAGCGTGGGGGACAGGTGCCCGTTGTGCGTCAGATGGACACTCCTATGTCTCAGCAGCCGCTCACATGAGCTTCAGAGAACTTGGTTTTTCAATGTGAGGTGCTGGATGGGAGCAGTTTGTTGCTGGCATTCTGCTTAGAAGCAGCGTGTTTGATCCCACCAATATACTTTTTTTTTTTTTACTTTTTGTTTTTTTTAAAGAGAAAGGAAAAGATCAGGCCTGTAAGAAGATCAGATCTTTTTTTTGTGTGTGTTGTTTATTTGTTTTCTCTGTTGTTTATGCTGTGAGCCAAATGTCTATTTAAAAGGTTGGATATTCACTTTCAATATTTTATTTCACGATATTATATTTGTCAATTATTAGCTATCTAGATGTAAATATGGAAAAATTTTTATGGGTTCCTGTAGATAATGATATCTTTAAGAAAAAAGAAAAAAAAGATAAAACGTAAAAGAAAAAACAGGGGAAAGTTTTTTGTAAAGCTAATTTTTTTTAAAAATAAATACAAAAACATTTTTATACAGTGTAGCCATTTCCAAACCAAACAAATAAAGTCTTGAGTAATTTGTATAGACCTTTCTAAGAAGCCAATGGTCTACAGGATCAAGGCTTTAAAATATTAATGCTCTTTGGGACTGGCAGGACCAACCAGTACCACACAATTTAGAGTTTTGTTCCCACACAATAAATTATATATATATATAAAATTCATTATCTCTCAAAAATCATTTGACTACGTATGCTTTTTATATTTTGATCCTGCATCCCTCGCCAAGAAGAGGATTGCTTGTGTAAGTAAGGATGCTTGTGAAAGGAATAGTTTGTAGGAGAAGTCCTTTCTATGTTAAATTTTTAACATTAAATCCATCACTTCTTGCTATTGTTACGCATTCAATGTATTTCATGATCCTATTGATACTTCCCCAATAATGTTGGAAAACATTTTCTATCTAAGTCAATCAGCATGTGTGTTCTCAGTTCAGAGGTACTTTGTGTGTTGCATTTCTGTTAGTGAGCTTTTGTTGGAAAACAGGATTTTGGTTTCTTAAAGGTTGCATTTGCCTGATACCATCCCATTCTACTCTTACCCAGTGGAGAAGGCATTTGCCTTTTGACAGATTGAGTGCTCATTGACAAACCCTGAATGCTCTCATCAGCAGAAATATTTAGCAGGTGTTTTTCAATGAAATCAGAAAGGCAAGGATTCAGATTGCACTGTTGTTTTAAAGGGAAAGGATACAGCAGAATTCATTCAAAAGAAAAAAAAATGTCTATGGTATCTCAGCAACTCTCTCCACCAATTCCAGCTTGCACTGTTTTCACACACTCGTTATGAATCTAATTTTCAGTCTTTGCTGTGCGTTTCTGACAGGCAATGGTGAAGAAATTTCCCAAGTTGGGTTAAGTATAACACACATGCACACAAAATCAGAGAGATTTTATATGAAAGGTGCAAGTACCATATTTTTGCTTGGGTTTTTCAGTAAATAATGAAGCATGTAATTTTTTAGGGGTTTTTATAACAGTTTCTAGTCCAACGGAGGCAAAACTTTTGCCCTGCACTTGCAGCAACCTTTTGGAGTCTAGAGTTTGATGGTTTTCTGCTTTGTGCAGTCTTTTGGTGTTGCAATCATCAAATAAACCACAACCTGTGCGATATTTTGGGGGGGAAGAGAAAAATAATTGTCTTCATCAGCAGAGTGCTCAGATTTCAGGTGAGATATTTACAGTGTTGATACAGATTTGTGGTGTATACAGTATGCAAAGAGCTTTGTTAGATACTAGAGAAAGCAAGCCCCATTTAAATTGTGTGATGCAGTAATAAAAATGTAGTCTTTTAATTTTCAGTTCTTTAGAAACAGGCAGACAAAGGTTGGGTTTTGTTTTATCCACAGTAATGTCATGTGGTGACCGGTCCTGTTCCCTTCTAGTATAGGAGACATTTGCTACTCCCTGAAATAGAGGACTTCTTGCTTGCACAGTGAGAAAAGCACTCCAGAGTTATTACCTTTTCTTTTAGAAGGAGTCTGAGGCTTTAGTTTTCAAGAACGCAGCAGGGGCTGTGTCTAGAAGTAGTCATTTCCATGTCCAAAGAGGCATAGTTTACACTGACTTTTGAGGGAACCTGGTGTTTCTTGATTTGTTTTGAGCTAGCGTACAGAGCATGTTGACACTCCTCTGAAATAATCTGCCTCCTCCAGTAGAAGGATGTTCCAAGCCATGCAGCAGAAGTGAATTGTTAGAACGTACTAGGAAAAAGGGGTTCTACTGTGGTCTTGGCAGCATTTTGAACTCCCATTCCCGGAGAGTGAAATCCTTTACAGAAAGCTGGAGAAGTGGCTGTGTGTCACCAAGGGCCTCTCCTGTGCACGTGTGCAGGGTGCTGGTTCTGGTCACATTCTGGCAATGAGTGGTGCCTGGGGCAGATGTAATTTGAGAATGTATTTGTTAAGGGTGCAGTGATAATTGTTCATCAGTTTTTACCCTGCCATCATCTGTGAATGTGTCTCTGCATCATCCTGAAGTTAAAATCCAAGGTTGTGATTGCTCAGGACCTTTTAAGTGGATGCATTTGGGAATTTTATTGTACCACTGTTAAAAGGTCTTAAGATCCTCATAGTCTGAGTTTGGAAGGAGGTTAAGTCTATAAAGGTTCAGATAGAAGTTTTGGAAAAGACCATTTGGAATCTAAGCAAAATCTGTATCCTTTTTATACTTTCTATGCTGGACATTAAGTTCATTTGTTTTCTTTAGGGAGTTCTAATCTCTGTCTGATTTTTAGATCATTATTTTTTTTCTGAAATTCTGGCCCCATCTATCTTCCTTCAGAAATGTCCCAGAAAGTGGAATACAGTGTGGAGCAGCCAAGGATCATGCCAAACTGAGCATCAGTCAGTGGTACAGCCTGTGAGGACTGCCCTGCCCATGCCTTAATCTAGGCATGTTCACACCCCATGCCATGCCCATGCTGCTGAGCTGTGAACTGAGTAGGTCAATCTAGGCATGTTCACACCCCAGCCCATGCTGCTGAGCTGTGAACTGAGTAGGTGTGGGGTAGCTGTCAGGTTGGGTACTCGGCAGCCTGAGCCCCACCAGCTTTTAGTGGGACTTGGGATCTTAGAGAATTTTGTCCATTTTCAAAATGAACCTTAGGCACTTTTGAATTTTTTTCCATAAGAATAATGCAGCAGAAGGCTTGTTGTGGTTGGTCCCAAGTGTTAATGAAGTACTTGTGCAAGGTCTCATTAATTATCTAGTACATTCTGCTTGGTCTGTGTGGTGGGATCCTGTGCTAGAGCTGGACTTCACTTGATGAAGATGGTTGCAGGTTTGAATCCACCCTCCTTTTGGTAGGCACAGCCAGATGTGCTGGTCTGTGTGAGCCTTGACAGCCCAGCAAACCCAGCTGTGCCCAGGGCTGCGATCCAGAGAAGGCACAAGGCACTTGACCAGCAAATACCCCAGGGAGATGCAACAGCTGATTGAAGTGTAGGAGAGGCAACACAGATGTGCTGTCGTTCATTCTGGAGCTGAGCCATCCGATAGACATAGTGTTCAATAGGTTGGGAGGGCAGCAATCAGTCTCTGGCACTTCTTCTGAAGGAAGAGGCTTTTGACTTCTGGAAAATCTGTAATTCATAAACACATGTAATATTTGCTGTTATTTTTGCATTTCACGTTTAAGGAAGAAAGGTTGCAAATGAAAGATGTGAGAATTTCTTGAGCATCCCACGGCTTCAGGTACCACAGCTGGGAGGCAGGCATGGAGAGTTGCTTGCTCTTTCCAGTCTCAGGACTGAGAACCTGGGTATTCCTCAGTTGGCATCACAGCACTGGTGTAATTAGTCCTTGAGTTGATGGGAGTTTTAGACATACAGGGAGCAAGTCAAACTGGTAAATCATAAGAAAGAGAAAAAGAAATTGTAGTCCAGTATGAAACACACTTTGTGCAACACACTTGATTTTCCTAATTTTTATAACAAAATCAAATGTAACCCCACTGGAATGAAGTAACCATGGAGTTTCTGGGGGTTTAATTACAGTTTTATGTTGCAGCATTAGTCAAAATGATGGCAGCATGAAAGAGAAGATAATTGTTCCCATTAACTAGGGTGGGGAA